TTGATTAGAAAATCTGATATCTGAATTCGATTCGATATCCGACAGATATTGAAAATTAATATCCGAATTTGAATTCGATTAAATATTTGAATATTCGATTCAAATCGAATTTGATTAATTAATTATTTTAGATAATTAATAAATATATAAAATAAATATTTTATTGATATAAAGTATATGAATATATAAATTATTTATATAACTTAATTATTATATGTATAATATAAAATATTTTATATATTATATATAAGAATTAAATAATCAGTCAAATTTGGATATTTATCGAATCGAATAAGGTCATATCCGAATTCAAATCCGATTAACTATTCAATATGAATAGAATATCCAAATTCGACCGATTAGATATTTGAATTATCCAAATTCGATTCAATTATGTCGAATATCGAATTTGAAATCAGATTTTCGAATACCATTGACACCCCTAGTGCTAAGGCTGTAATCTAGTAGAATTCCGATTGGATCCAACAATATTCAAATATAATATGACTAATGAAATCTCAAATCTGATTTTTTTTTATAAATCCAATTAAAATTGGGAATGTTGGATTAGATTTGAATCCCATTGAATTGGATTTAATTAATCCAACTACACTTCATATTTTTAAAATAAAAAGAAATAAATTAAAAATAAAAATATTTGTTTTGAAGAATTCTCAACCAAGCCCACCCAAGTTGCACCCCTAGTTGTAGATTAGAGATGAATGATAAATCTGGAAGAAGTAACATTATAATTTATAAACTTCATCTGCTGGCATGACTTGTGATTTTAGTGATTCTTACAATCAACTGCTTTTAAGACATCTTTCACTCAAACGATATTTGTGAGATGTCATGCTAATATGGTGGTATCTTTCAAAATGATTTTTGTTAAAATACATTTGAAAAGTCATTTTTTGTGGTTTTTCGGGCTTCTTAAAGTTTGGAAGATTAAAATTTGGTAATCAAAGATAGGAAACCAAAAAAAAAACTATGCTCTAAAAATTAAAGCTTATAGAAGCCCAAAATGGCCAAGAATTTGGAAGCTTCAAATGAAGCTTCTTGTCTTTCTGCACCTAAAGTGTTTCATGTAACAACTCTATAGATCATGGTTGACTACGATTCTTGCTAATAGGGGTGATCATGGGGTAGCCCAGGTCAGGCCTGGTCCAGGTTCTGAGCCTGAAACATAAGCCCAAGCCCAACCCAATTTCAGCCCAACCCATTATATATATATAAAATATTACATATATATATATATATAGTATCTTATGTTAAATGGCATATAATATGTATATAAATTTACTTTATACATTATATAACATAAAATTTTATATATAATATATGTTAGAAGTGTCATGTTATAATATTTATGTAAAAATATATAACATAACATAAAATTACATATATACATATGTATAAATTATATATAACATACATATATTTAAATATATGTAGGGTCCAGCCCAGGTTGGGCCTGAGTCGGGCTTGAAATATTAGGTCCAATCCTGGCCCTAAAATTTGCAGGCCTAACATGTGCTCAGGACTAAGTCGAGCTTGAACACAAAATCTAGGCCCAAGCTTGGTATTTTTGGGTTAAGCTCATGTGGGTCAGGCTGGGCCGAGCTGAAATGATCACCCCTACTTACCAAAACAGTTTTGATGTAGGAAGATCTTCTTAAAAAGAAAAATTGCCAAATGGCACCTTACTCAATTTCTATCTAAGGTTAACCTACTTAAGAGAGAGAGAGAGAAAGGGTGTCCAGTGAAAGGATGTAAGCTCTATGAAGTGAGTGCATCTGGGCTTCATGAACCACTGAGCTGGGTGGGATCAAGGTTCCTCCCTCCATGGTCGCCCAACACCTTGCCTTCCATACTTACCACAACATGAAGTGGCCCACATCTTCTACAGAATTGTTTCCATGGCCAACCACCAAAGTTTTCAAGCAGTCAGATTTGTGATGGAGCCAACCCTAAAATTCAGGGCCGCTCTTGAATGAGGAACTAATTTTATTCTCCCCCTACATAAACTGATAAACATGTGAATATCTGATTTCTCGTATGGACAATTCTACCCATCCTATTCAGTAGTAAATTAATTAAGTATTGCTTCTCTTCAATAATTCTGGTCAACTGAAAAAATATTCATAGTATTACAATTTTGCCCTCAAAGTAAATATAATGCTACTATTTATTATTTATTATGTTTGTTATATCCTTCTTCTCTTTGACTATTATTTGATGTGTAAATTAAATTTTCAGTATTAAAATATATATATATATATATTATATATACCCTACACGTGCCTTGCATGTGAAGGGTTGAACTAGCTATGTACAACGTTATGAGTTATGACTGCTTCAAATCTTTGGCGAGTGAGTGAAGTATTTCTGTGTGATAGTTTGAGTTTCGAACCTAATTATCAATAGAGATGTACATGTCCTGCAGGTTGCAGATATTGAAAGAATTCATCTAAATACTATGAATGGGATGACTGTTCAACCCCCACTTCAAAATTTTTAGCCCTACTGTACAGATGGGATGAATCTCGTCGGATGTTAAATTCATGGACAGAATGCGATTTATAAGGATTGTAATTTCAGATTTCTGCCGTGGAGTGCAATGTACTTACCCATATATATAATGATGATGCTGAAAATCCAGTTAAATGTGTAGGTATCTACCAGCAACAGAAGTTTCTGCTCCAATTATGATAAAGAGATGAGACGAAATGAAATAGTGGTCGATGACATTGATGGAACCTTGAAACAGATAGAAAAGAAAAATATATATCTTTGAGGAGTCTAGCTATTTAATTTTAGTGGGTCAGGACAAACACGTACTCCATTTAGTGCATCAGATCAACTTGCAATATTCTGGGTGAGAATTGAATCCTTATGAAAGGACGGAGATGGTCCCTTCCATTAGTGCTGTCAATAATGAGTTTTGGGTCTGGTCCGGGTCAAGGCATACCCAGTCCTAATTAAGGGTTAGTTATTTAATCCAATAAACAAATGTTGGCAAAATCAGTTCCATATCGGGTCGGACCCCCGATATTACAGGATAGAAGTTGAAAACAGAAGTTAGACTCTTAATTATTTTTTACATAAACTGATTGGCCGGTAATATCCCATCAAATTTGGATTTGCAAAGTAGAAAGAAAAATTACAAAAGAAAAAAGTTCTTGAAGATGGATTCATACTTATTATAATAAACGGTAAGTTTGGTTGATTTTAATTTCTAGTTGATTGTTGATTCCAACTTCCAATGATCCAATCAGAGGGGGCTACACGCTAATACGCTATTTGGATTGGTTCATGATAAGTCTGACAACGGATGAACTGTTCTAACTTCTAATAAATTCTAGGGTTGATTTCAATTATTCCACTTCATCAGTCTCAAGAAAACGGCCTACTATTAATGAAAAATATCGAAAATATGTGAATAATTAAACTTTGGAAAATAACATATATAATATATGTGACCTCAGTCCCCAGAGTGTTTATAAATGTTGTGGACAGTCACACAACCAATAGGAGACTTTAATTTTTGAAGGGATGTAGTCCTGGCAACACCCAACTGGCCGTGTCGATCGTGTCTTCTAATCGATCGCGAACTCGCAAGTCGCAAGCTAGGTAGGAATATGAGGACCACTGACCCAGAATTAGCAAAAACTCATTCAGTTGAAAGGCACTTCAGCTGTTACAAAACAACCACCAAGGCCCGAACTGATAATGGGGAAGGATCCATCATCCAATGGGCTGAATGGTGCTGGGTTCTGATCAATTTTCTGAATACAGGACACATAACACACAGTTAAAAGGCAATTGAGTACTGTTTGATGGGTCCTGTTCCTGTATCCCTTGACTGAAGAAGCTGAGGAAAGCTGAAGAAGAATGCTTGTTTGGAGCCATGGCTAATACAATTCAATTTTTTTTTTTATTTAAAGTTTAAATCCTTGATTGATTATTTGATCGGTGAGATTGGGGATTTGTAAAACAAAACAGAGATATGATTGTTAGTAGTAACATGTCGGCCAGCAGCTTGAATTAAAAGACGAAGAATGCTTGTTTCTGATTTTTGTTTCCTTGTTTTGCTTTCACTTCACGTACAAGTTGGAAGATGTGGTAGCATAACATGAATTCTCGAAGGACCCGCTCAAATCCACGTGACTGTAATGAATACGTTCATCCATCCATCATTCTTCTGGAAAAATCAAGCCGACTTTGCCACTTGCCAGCCCAAACACAGCCTTCATCACGCGCTAAACTGTTGGATTCTCACCTACCCAACAATAAACAAAAACCCTCTACGTCTGTCGTTTCTGCTCTCCTAAGGTTAGAGCTTTTCATTAACTACAACTATTCAAATGTCAACGTTTCTCCCTCTTATGGACATTTTACTATCTAATTTCAGGCGGTGCGGGGCCTAATTGCCAGCCGAAATCGACCATCTTCCGAACTAACTGACGCTTGACAGGATTAATTGCTTGAGAGTTGAGAGTTGAGACTCCACGTACGGTCCACACATAGCGGCCTGTGCTACGAAAAACGAAGAATTCAGAACGGTACAGGACGCTAATATCCATGGAGCTTCACTTCATCCTGCCAAATACGAGGCTGAAACCGATGATCGACCTCTTTAATGGGTTATGGGTCAAAGATATCCTGCCTTTTATCTTTTAAATTGGGTTACCAATTAACGTCATAGGGTTGTCTCGAGCATCTGGGCGTGCGGTGGTGATCGCTGCAGATGTGAACTAGTCTCCTCGCAATGACAGAACGACATAATGTGGGCATTCAACATAGTCGGGGTTTCCGTTCCGCGGCATTAACCTTCTCTCTCTCTCTCTCTCTCTCTCTCTCTCTCTCTCTCTCTCTCTCTCTCTATATATATATATCTCTCTCCTAAGATTCTTGCTTTTACTTCTTTGGCAATAAATCAGCTTGATGCTGTAACTGATGCATAGGCCAAAAAGCCCAAAATTATGACAAAATAGCTGTTGAGGAGTATGTGGACTCGAAATTGAAAGAAATAGCATAGCTTCGGCACTATATACAGATCGATGTAAGAATAAAATAGAGCTGGAGCTCTAATATTTGATCTATCTATCTATCTATAGGATTTAAGAGTGGCTCCACAGAAGGTACAGATGATCGCTCGCCAAGATTTGCAGTAGAATGGAACGTAACAGAATCTCGTCAACGTTTTCATATCGGCAACGCTGGCTCCGCCACCGCATCGCGAACAGATCCCTGCCGCAGGTTTCTTGTTACTCACCTTCCGCTTCTGATCTACTAGAAAACAAAAGAACACCATTCCCCTTCTCTCTCTCTCTCTGCCGTATAAGTAGAATGAAGGACGATACTGAGTTGAGCGGACAACTCGAGAGCAGGCTTTATATAGGAGGAGGAGGAGTTAAATGTCGAGCGGTTTGGGTGATCGTTTTATTGCAAGAATCAGTTAGATGCTTGACATGTGGCAAGCTTTAATATAAAAGTAGCTCGGTATCTATTCACATTTTCTACGCGGTAAACCTGCCTGTGCTTGAGCCATCATCAAGAATTCGTGCAATGTGATTGCCACGTGGCAATAAGGTTGACGCTTCGTCTTCAGTCTGTGAGAATTTAAGTGTGTCGAGTCGCTCTATCAGTGTATGTGTAAATTAGAACCGTTGATTTGTCCTCGAGATTTGCACCAGCAACCGAGCAGAAGCTTTAGATGTGTTCATACTCGTTGCAAGGGCTGTGGCATGATTAATGCAGGAAGAAGATGATTGTCTCATTGTTCATTTCAATGATTTAATAGGGAAGAACAACTTTTCCATTTTCTACGGCAGTGGGCAGTTGGCCGTTGGCCGTTGGCGTTGGAGAAGATCTGAAAAGTGAAAACTGTGGGTAATTTCCGGTGTACCTTAACCCGTGAAAATTGGGTTCGGATCTGTTACCCACGAGGCCACGAGACGTTACAGCCACAGCCACACATTGAGAACATTTCTCATTATTTGTCATTTATGGGGAGATGTTCTGGATGTGTGTGGCTGTAATGTTTTGAGTTGAAAGACTACTTGTACTTGGAAACACAGATACTGTTGTTTGTACTCGAATTACTGAAAAATGTATGCAAGTATATATTGTTTTATATTAACTACTAGAGGGGGAGTTAAGCAAAAGTTAAATAATAGAAATACATCATTTTCAAAAAAAAATAATAGAAACATATAATAATATATAATTGTATTTTATATACTATTTTTAATATTTGTTTTGCAATACAAAATAACAATAATTAATTTCAGTTAGGGTTGTTTATCAAACCAATGAAACTGGCCAAACCAACCAAGCCAACCCAACTCAACCTAACTTGGTTCATTTTCTAATATTTCTGATCGACTTCAATTCTCCCAACCCGACCAGGTCGAACCAACCCAACCATAGATATGTATTAATATTTATACTTTAAATATAATTTTTTAATACGGAAAAGTGGAAAATTTCCATATTTCTTAGTATAAAATAATTTAATTGTAAATTTCATTTTTTTAATTTATTTTTTAACAATATTACTATAATTTTTTAAATTTAATTTTAAATCTTTTAAACTAGCTGACCAAACTGAAAACCAACACAAATTGATACAACTTGAGTTTGTCAGTTTTCACTAATGGTCACTTAAACCAAACCTACAACCAAACCAAACCGACTTGTGAACACTCCTAATTACAGCTAAATTAATAGTCTAATCTCTAATAAATAACAATAGTTTAATCATCAATAATTATTGAAAATTTAAAGCGAAAATACTTTGAAAATAAGTTATAACAGTAAATAACTAATAAAATTACAACAAATATTATAATAACAAAAATACAATAAATAGCATAACCGCCAATAAAGTTTAATCTCTAATAAATATTAATTAATAAATTATAACAAAAATACATAATTACTAAAAATATTTATAACAAAAATACAATAAATGTTTATTGAAAATAAAATAAATATTAATTTTAGTATATATAAATATATAAAAAGTATAGATAAAGATTTTAAAATTATTATTATTATTAAATGTGAATTTTTGAAAGTCATTTTCTAAACTTATTAATTGATATAAGTTATATATTGTTTTTTATTAGTACATTAATAATTGAAATTATTATTTTATTTTTAATACCTATTTAAAATATTTTTTTGAAAGTTATTACATAATTTTTTCATTTGGAAGCTTAAATATCTCTAAATTATTTAATCTATTTTTCATTATTTATATTTTATAATCTTATTATCAAATATTATTAAATGTATTATAATTATTTTTGTGTTTTTGATAAAAATTTTAAAGTTATTACATAATTTATTTATTTAGTCTATTCTTTTGATTTTTAAATAATATTCAAAATATGATTTAGTTAATAAATTTTTCAATATTTAAAATATTTAAAAATTATTTATTTACAACATTATTTAGTCATTTAAATAATATCATTGTTTAAATTTGTAAAATATTAATTATTTATTGAATTTAACAATACAAAAAATATAATTTATACTATTATTACATAATTTTGTTATTTAAATTTTTTAAATAATATTTACTTATTAAATTGAATAATCTATAAAATTGTAATTTATATTGTTATTACATAATTTCGTTATGAATTTCATAAAAATATAAAATTATTAATAATAAAAATATTATTAAATTAATTATAATTATTGTTTGTGCTATTAATAATATTTTAAAGTTATTAAATAATTCCATTATAATATTTAAATAATTCTTAAACTCTTTAATTCAAACTTTCTTGAGATGGATATATATGAGCAGTGGGAGAGAAGATAAATGGGAATTAACGATAATTTAGGAGAAAGTGGGGGATAGTGGTGTCACTTGACTAGACATTAGAAAAGCAAATCTCTCTTTCTTGCCTTGGAACTCTCTTGTCACGTAGCCTATTGAGAGGCTTGGGTATGATGAAATGAATCAAGGGAGATATTTAATGAAAGAGCAAGGATGGGGTAAGGGAGAAAGGATAGAGCGTTCAAGGAGAAAAGATACTAGGGGGAATGATAAATTGATAATTTATCTATCTATCTATCTATCGATCTATGTATGTGTGTGTGTAGAATAAATTGATAATTTCTTTCTCAAATAACAATTCAATCAAAAAGCTTAAGTTGTTAGGTGAGATCCTTGAATAGGTTTTTATTCTCGAACACACTTAGCTTATAACTATGTATTAGGATTAAACAACCTAGAAAAAAATAAAGGAAGAAGGGAAGAAAAAAAACTTTGTATTGGGATCCTTTTCTCCAATATTGTTTTGAGTCATAATAAAACAAAATACAATGACTAAAAATCTATATCAACAATTCAATTCAACTGAAATGCCACCAACATGGACAGTTTCAGGTAACTGATGCGTATAGATTACACTAGCAAGTGCACTAGCCGATCAAGTAATATAATGATGAGTAGAGTTCCGTTCCCACGAGGATTGATCCAACAACTACTAGTACTGAATCCGCCTTTAGTTATCTGATAAACCGAAAGATTAAACAAAGAAGACCCTAGCTCCTAACTAGCAAATTACCCTAAACAGTTTCGGATCAGACCACTTTTAATGAATAGAAGAATTAGTGCATGCAAGAACTAACAGAACCGATTTAGCAATTAAATCTTTAAGCCGTCCAACCAAAGTGAATTCAGTCTTGGGTTGGTGAAACCCTAATTTTATGAGCAACCTCTCTCGATTGCAGCCCACCCTATCTATAGGCGACAATTCCTATATCTCTATCAGAAATTTAATCACTATAGATGCATTAAGAGCAAAGAATTCGCAGGTCAACAATTCAGGTATGAATGATTGCCAAATGAACCATGCAAATTATCTCTAAGATGCATTCAGTTTGTTTTCTTGATTAGATGATCTGATTACCTAAACCCTTTCTCAAGCAATTCAAGTAATCCAAGATACAAGAACAATTTGGCCAAGATTATTCTATAAATCGAAAACCCTAACCAAGAATCCCAAGAATAAATCACAATCAATCGGATCTGCTTAAAATACTAATTACATATCAGAATTAAAATCCATCATAGTTCGCATAATAGAAAGAAGAGAAGAAAGATTCAATAAAGAAACATCAAGAAACCCTAATCAAATCTAGGTTACCAAATTGCAGGATCAAAGAATAAGACAACCTAAGGTTTCTGCATCAAAATCTTTGATCTCCTCTTCAATTCGCATTCAGCAGCCTCTTCTCCTCTCTAGCAGTTCTTCTTCTTCTTCCTTCATTTTCTCTTTAGGGGTCTGAACCCTAATTCTAGTCAATTCCCGGATGAAAACTTGTAGGCTAAAGAATGGCTCCAGCACGTCAGCAGTGTGGTTACAAATAATTCGGGCCCAATTTTGACCGTGATGCAGTCCATATCTATCAAAACTCAAAGCATTAAAGTTGTAAAAATTTTCCTTATCTTTGCAACGCATCTTAAATAATCTAAGGCGGAGTCAGGATGAGAGAGTTATGCCCAAATTACGACGCGGTGCCAAAACTTTCCAGAATTACCCGATTAACCTTGTTTTTCACTTAACGCCTCCTTTCGTGTCCTAAATCAAAATATAAGAATAATGAGTCCATTTGGGCACTAAATAAGTATAAAAGACTAAATATTAAGGGATAAAAATATGATAATTTTCATTCTCATCAAATCCCCCCACACTTAGCTTTTGCTTGTCCTCGGGCAAAGATATTACCCATAAACTGATCATCCCCCAAATTATTTCCACTTATCGAATGAATTTTAGGATGAGAATGCGTTAAGTGATCAAAAATCTTGCATAAGCACTTTGATTCATCCCCATGATTGGCCACTTTTACCACATACATAAGAGCAAAGGAAGGGGAGAACATGAGATTCTTCATGCTCCAGCACTCACTTCCGTTCAATATGTATAGAAGATCCTTGACCACCATTATTAACCATCACTTAGAGCTTGGTTTCAAATCCTATCAATGCATTAAATTGAATGTTCAACCATATTTTGTCCCTTTGAACATCAGCCGTCACCGATTTCTCTTCTTTTTTTTTGTGTGAGTACATTTTATGCTCCATCTCACACGGGTCACAGGCTAGAGGAAGATAACAATACTCATATTCCCAGTTGCTAGTTTTACTATTCAGCTTGGAATAGCGGAGTTGGGACTGAACTCATATCATAAACCGCTAGTTTTACTATTCAGTTCATGACAGCGGAGTCATTTGGACTTTTTCCCTTTCTCATCTTCTTTTTTTTTTCTTTTGCAATTGTTGAAATTCATGCATTAACAGTTCAGATGTGCACTAATAGCTCGAATGATCACTAAGATTTCAACCAAGTACACTATACACATGAGTAGAATTGGTGCTGGTCATGATGA